AATAAAAATTATTTGTTTATCAGTCCATTTTGTTGAGCACAGTCAACTCTTGTAAAGGTACTCGCCCCAAACCTATGTACTCAATTTTGATTGATTTTTTTCATACAATACTCGATTCGATTTCTTAGTTAGCAAAAATTTTTAGCTTGCCAATTGTCTGCATACACCAATCTTTTAATTTCACTCCAAAAATCCTCAATTGGGCACAATTCGGCACATTAGCAGGGTTTATGTCTCTGGGCACATATTTGATATTTTTGTCTTTTAGGTAGTTTTGTACTTTGTTTGAATAGTGTGCGGAGGCTAGATCAGGCCAGAACACAATTTTTGTTGTTTTTATGAACCTTGTTGAAAAACTTCTTTAATTTAACCAGGCATTTGGAAATGTACACACCCTTGCCCAAATGTACACACAGCTTGACCCAAAGGACCTATGTAATGCTTTGAGACCCCTTTCTCTGACAAGGATATCCAAACTAATAATTTTGGCTAATATTTCTTTTGAGCTTAACCTCATTAGAAGTTGTGTCGGTATCAGAAGTATAATATCCTACGTTGCCAGAAAGCTGTGTGTTGCACATAAGAAAATACGACTTGTTTTTAACTATCACAAATTTTTTCTGGAAAAGTGCAACTAATTTTTGGCACTTAGGATGTACAGCAGCTTTCTGAGTCAATGTTCTTTTTGGCAGTTAGTTTTTTTACAATATCGAATGCTTGTCTTTTCGTTGATAATTTTGGATATATACTGCTGGGAAACATTGAATCTTTTGAAGTTACGCTGTGATAAATATAATAAACATTTTTATTCAGCAGATAGTTTTATGAACTTCTCTTGATACTTTTAATGAAGGATGTTTATATTTTGGCAATTGAAGAACATTTTTCTAAATAAATATTTTTAAATTAAATAATAAAAAAATATAAAAGAAATTTAATATTTCTGATGTTTGGGATACTTCAAGTTAAATCAGGGAAAACATGTTATGTATTTATGAATTATCAGAGAAAAATATGAGAAATTTCCTTTTAAATGAATATAAATAATATAAAATACTTTTTGTTCGTCTTTTTTCTAAAATAATTTTTGATTTTCCTTATCTTCATTTTTCTTATTTTTTCCTTTTCATGGTTAAAAACCAACTCAGCAATTTGCGATGCCATTGCAAAGACCTCATTATAAAATGTAAGCAGCTGTAAACTTAAATATTCTGGTAGAATATTAATTTTACTGGAAAATTTACTAGGTAAAGTTTGGTTTTTAGTGCATTTTTAAACATGACAATTATATATAAAAGTAAATCTAAAAACACAATGTCAATTAAAAGCTTTTTTCAATACTCTTAGCAACTTGTATCTCTATATCATTTTTGTTTTTATTTGTCTGTGTGGTTTTAAAGGTACTTTAAGATTTCTTGAAATATCATAAATACGTATATAAGGCACTTTAAGATTCCTAGGTTTTATCATGAATATGTATACACAATTTATAGTAATAAAAATATGATGGTAATATGTAATCCATGTGACTCTTGGTTAAGTAAGAGACATAGTAAGACTTAAGATAGTGTTGTAATAAAAATACTTATCTGGGCAGAAAGTTCCTTAAGTTTTTTAATAAGTCATAGCGTTAACATTTTTATACAGTTGAGAGTGCTTAGGCAGTGCCCTATTTATTTTTTCAAAAAAAAATATTTTTTTCTTTTTAACAAAGTTAAGATAACTTTGAAAACATTGCTTTCTAAAAATATTTTGATTTATACTTGTTTAGTTTCATTTAGATATTTATGAAATAAAAAACAATAAAGTAAAGTGTTAAGATTGTGTTAAGATTTATTTAGCATCAATGGTATACATATGTCCAGTTGTTTGTACAGGTGCATCAATGATATAAATTATATTGATAATTAGAACCCAACACTCATCTGCTTTAGATGGCCTAAAACATTTGTTAAAAAGACTGTGCAGTTGCATAAACATTACCATAACATCTTGCTCAATATTGTCATTTCATTTATCATACCAATCCCATGAAACGTATCATATTTACACAGAATAAATTGACCAAATTTTAATGTATTGATGTTAACTTGCTAATTAGGTTAAATGAAAATGTTATTACAGCAAAAAAAAAACTTTTTTGGTATATTAACATTTTTTACTTAATATCTTCACTTGTTAATTTAAGGCTACTAGTATCTATTATAGATACTACAAATTAGATAGTATAATTACGTAAGTATATAGTAAATATTCTTTATATATTTAGTATATATTATATAGTGTAGATTATGGGTTAAATTGGTGATAGCTCCTAGTTCCAGGAAATGTTCTATATAGCAGAAAACCTGTTTTAAAAGCGGTACTCAATTCTGCCATTCTTTTTTTTTCAATCTTAAAAAAAATCCCTTTTATATTGTTTGCACAGTAATCAAACATTTTATTACAATTCAATATCTGGTCATCTATGGGCCTTAGTAGACTTGCATTTTCAGTTAACTCTTTTATAGTGCCACTAATCTCATCACATGGTGGCTTACCATGACTTGTAGCTTTTCTATAACAATCAAATCTTATTAAATCAGTCTTTTTACAATAAATTAGTATCATTTAACAGTTTTCCAAAATCACACGAATCCATTTTTACTGTAAATATAACTATTAAGTTGCATTTCAGATTAAATTGAAAATGAGAAACCATAAAAAAAGAAAAAGTAATTAATAAACACCATGGTAATGGAAAACTAAACAGTGATTGATTTTTTTTATCTTTTTTTTTTATGTAAAACATAGTTTTTTGTTTCTTTAACAAGATAGTTTAGTTGTAATTAATGTGTTAACGTTAAAAATGTTACTAATGAATTTAATAGGTAATAAATTTCTTCTATACTAGTGTAATGACTGGATGTTACTAGTGTAATGACTGGATGTTACTAGTGTAATGACTGGATGTTACCAGTGTAATGACTGGATGTCACTAGTGTAATGACTGGATGTTACTGTTAATAGTTCTTATTTAAATAGTAATTATTAAACAACTTGCTGTCAAAATTGTAGAATTTGCAAATACCAATTAAAATAATGATGATGAATTTTTTTTTATTGATGTAATGTTATGGCAGGATGTTTTGTTTTTTTTCAACTGTTGGATTTTAGTAAGTTAAACAACTTTCTTTAAACATTTTTTAGCATTAAAAAGTCTCAACTTTTTTCTTTCAAAAAGTCTTAAATTATATAATTTAAAATTCTGTTAACATGATTATTTTAGATGGATGGCTGTTTTTAATCCACATACTTGCAAATCTAAATTGTTATAAACATGACCTTTCTTAAAATATTTTTAAAAAATCATTAATTATAAATTAATATAAATAAAAAAATTTCAAGAAAATTAATAAGGTATGGCCCCTGGTGCACTGGCACCATAACCCCTTTGATTGTCTGCCCTGGAATTTTTGCTTCCAGGGTAGACAACACATGGAAAGATGTTCATCAGGGCTACACAAGAAAATTTCAAAGCTCAAGTTTGTCTGAAAAGTAGTAAAAAAATCTATTTCAAGATTCCGCTACAAAAAAGGTGCACATTCCCCAGTCCCCTGTTGTTTTGGGCCCTATAAACAATTTTAACATGCATTTTTATCAATGCTACAGAAATGCAAAAAGTTTCAGAGCTCCAGCTAATCTGGAAGGTAGTGAAAAATCAATCACAATTTTCCACTACAAAAAAATGGGAATCATGCCCTGTTATCCATATATGGAAATCCATATACTTGGAGAATAAAATCCTTATGTTTTCTGAAAGATCATCGAATTTAGAATGATATGTAAAACATTTTTCTTGATTATCAAAGTCATTTATATAAAAAATTGCCTAAATCTATTTAAATTGATAATTACAGGTATGTTTTTAAAATTTCTGATCTATTCATTGGATTTTTCACCCCTGAAAATAGCCAAATCTATTTAAATTGATAATTACAGGTATGTTTTTAAAATTTTTGATCTATTCATTGGATTTTTCACCCCTGAAAATAGCTAAATACAAACTTTTAGGTAAAAAAATAATTTTCAAAGTTAAGTGACTTGAAACCTCCTAATGTTGCAATTCTGAGGAGACAAGAGGGGCTTGGCCAATTTCTGCTAAAGGTAAAATAGTTGTATTACAGGATCTTCTTGGAGCTAAATACTTAAATTTTCAAGAAATTTTTATTTTACTAAGTACTCTATAAAAATCAGCAAAATCTGAGATATATAATGAAATTTTTAAAAATCTCAATTGACTGGAATTACTCTTTTTTAATTTTAAACATCATTAAATACTGACCATAATCAAAATTTTTATCTGTATTTTTAGGTCCACATTTATGAAATTAAATTTTGATCAACTTTTTTTCAAAAACATTTCTTTTAAATTTTTTAGATTCTAAACTGTTAAATTTTACCTGTTTCCATTTTAAAATCACATGAACTTTTTATATGATCCCTACTGCAGATTGGTTCCATTTTTCTTCTAATTAAATACTTTTGGTGGTTTTTCATTTTTGTAGTCAACAATACCATATAAATAAAGTATTGAGAGAAAACTTATTTATTGGCGTTTATAAATTAAATTAAAAAACTTCCATAAGATATCATCATTTAAATATATATTTTTTTCACAATTATTAATATTAAAAAAATAGTTCTACTGTTCAATATATGTTGTATAGTTTTATTTCTTCAAAAAAGTGTTGCAAAATTTTAAATCTAAAAGTGGTAAAATTTTAAACTTTTTATTTTTTTATTTAAGGTCTAAAAAAAACAAATAAGAAATTAAATTTAAATAAAAGGTTTTAAAAATACCATCCAGAGAAACTCTTTTTATATGTAAACTAATTTATGATAAAATTTTATAATTTATATATAAACTGTAAAAAAAAAAATTGATATTTAGTTTTGTTAATATTTTTTTTGTTAATTATTTCTCGTATATTTTTATTTAAGTTCTTTTTTTATTGCAGATTTTGACATTAGACATGACTTGCAATTAGATCAACTCAAATTTGATGTCAATTCTGAAGGTAAACAGTTAATTTTGTCTCTAAACCATAATTTATTGAACTTTTATATAAAAATGATATACTTACATCTTATTCTGAATGGAGGAAATTTTAAAAATTAAAGTTTTTTTTTTTTCTTTTTCTAAATAATTTGTAAATACATTAAAAACTGACTAGCAGAACATCTTATAAAAAACCTATATATATATATATATATATATATATATATATATATATATATATATATATATATATATATATATATATATATATATATATATATATATATATATATATATATATATATATTAGGGCTGTCCAAAAAAATTTTTTTTTTCAGATTTGATTGCATAGTTGTTTATTTTGTGCCATTTGACATATTAATTAACTGTGCAAAAAAAGTCCACAAATTTCTAAAACCCGGTTAATTAGATTTTTCAGATTTGATCAGTTTTAATTATCTCTAAATATTAAATTCTGAATACAAATTACAATCCACATCCACTTTATACTGGTTTATTAGCAGAGAAATTAATGAAATAAAATACTGCAATACGACTAAAGTTCTGCGGTTTTTGTTATATCAGAATTTTTCCAAAATAAAACACTAAGATTTTTGACTCTTTGTCATTGATTAAAATACGAATTATAAACAAAAAAAATTATTGTAAAGGAGTAACAGTTTCTCAAACCGTTATCAACTACTAAGTAGGTCAACTCAAAAACATATGAACAATTAACATTTAATTATCGTAATGTTATAGTTCGTGCAATGTTAATGCTAGCGAGGACTATAACTCTTCAGAGTACACTTTCTGGCATCTGGCACTTGCTTTCTGTGATCCTCAACCACCTGAATTAACCTCTGCATTTCAGATTCATTCCTTGTAATCGATTCATTAAACATCGACATTAAAGCCACAGATCGTTCGGCAGCATCATTTACTACTTTCAATGAATATACTAAATTTTTTCCTTCTTGGTATTCTAGGGAATCATTCCAGGTAGCTGGATCGTTGTTGAACAGAAAATCAATATCAACCTTCATTGACCGCAACACACTTGCTGAAACTGATGTCACCAGCATGTCCAGAGATTTCTTCTCTAGACTTTCAATGTTCTTTAATTTGATCAACCTTTCAGACCAGTTCTCACCGTGAAATTTCATGTTGGAAATCATTTTTCGCTTCTCTTCCGTTTTAAGTTTGTTTGAAAACAAAGCTAGTGGGACCAATTCTGGTGAAAGGTACCACAAATGGTTTTGAAATTTCTTGACTGCTGCTTCGGAAATCGTTTTATTCACAAACTGCTTAAGTTGCTGAAACAGAAACAAGTCATTAACTGGAGCATCGCTGGCATTTGGGCATGATATCCAAGATTTTACATAAACCAGACTAGCAAATAAGCAAAATTCACAGAGATTTTTTTCCTCTTTTGTGGTCAACTTGAACTCTTCACGAAATAAATAAATCTTAAAACAATAAATAACCTTGGCCATCCAGCGAGCCATGTGATAAGCACCAGGGATCTTGAAATGATAATTTTTCTCTTCTTGATCAGGCAGTTTTCCAAGTATTAACAGACAGAGATCCATGATTTCTTTGTAGTCATCCCTTGGCATTTTAACATGCAGGTTTTCTTTGAGGAATGCCATCACTTCATTTTGTAGTTCTTGCACCAGGGGTATTTTCATTCGAATGTCATCCAGAGGTTTAAAATTTCCTTGATTAACTTTGAGCCAATATTGCTGAAATCTCTGGAAAAGAGGTATGTTGGGACCAGATGATGGTCCAAATAGTGATCCAAACACTCCTGCTACTATGATCTCATGAACATGGTGTCTGCAAGCAAAATATAACAAATTTCTACCTATATGTTTCTCTAGAACTACACATGCACCATTTTCGGAGCCAGTGTTAGAGGCTGTAGTATCAAAACTCATTCCAATAACATCACCAATTATGTCCCAGAAATTAAGCAGATAAATAACTCCTTTTGCTTGGGTTTCTCCAGTTCCAGCTGATAGTTTTGCTATTCCAAGTATTTTGTCAACATTGTGACCTGTCACACTTACAGATAGCCGGCAACATTTGCTTTAGGGTCTGCAGAATTTGTACGATCTATCATCAGTTTGCCATCCCAGTGGACGATTAATGGTGGTTTGTCCAAATCGCAGAATTCAGTTCGAACAGTGGCTTCAATGTTTGATCGATGATAGGTTCGTTTTCTACGGACTGTAGAACGTGACAATGATCCATCATCGAGGTTCTGTCCACCAGCCCTTGTAATTGCTGCTGCTAGTATAGTAAATTTTGTGTCAGATAGATTAATTCTGTCTAATTTTAATGAAACATCAGGCGAGTCAAGAATTGTATCTAAGATACATTGTCGTTTTAGAGTACTTGCTAAACTTGAATCAGCTGACCCTGAAGAACTTGCTTTACTGACTTGTTGTCTGTAATAAACAGGGATTTCTATCTCAAAATCTCTATCAACCATTTTGTCATTATCAACAGCATCGTTATCGTTGTCATCACTATAACTTTCGTCATGTAAAGGTTCAATAACAGGAACTATTGCACTCGCACCAGATTGTCTTTGCCCTTCTTTTAGCTTTCGTTCTCTCTCTGCTTGTTTCCTTGCTTCATTTCTTGCTTCTAATTTTGAAAGTTCTTTGTCCTCTCCAAACATCACCATTTTTCTCTGACATCTCTGATCCAATAAAAATTCTTTATCTTCTTCAATTCTGATCATGGTTTCAGCATCCTTGTGGGCAATGTCAAAAAGTAGGCCAATGGTGTCTGTAAATGATTTCTCTCTTGATTTCTGAGAATCTGACAATCTGGATTTATTTTTTTTTAATTATTTAAATTCCTGGACTAAAGTTTTCAACTTTAAGACTACATTCGGATGAAATGCTGTCGGAATACGGGCTTTATTCCAAATAATAATCAGTTCATCAACAGTTGTTTTAAGACTTTCAGGCACTGACTTTTTGGTTGAATTAAGATGATAAAAAAATGTTTTTAAAACATCAGATGTTAAGGGAAGAACTTTATCTGGAAGATTTGGCTCTGGTTGTCCAATTAAAAAGATTTCGGTTTGAAGTCGTGTAGAGATAGCAACACGAGATGATGCTGCCATTTCAATGATAACTGAAAAATTATGAGAAAATCAAAACTCAATACCATATTATACAAACTTATCATTCAGTTGTTGGTTTATGCAGCTGCAGCAATATATAATAATAATTATTACTAAAGAAATTAAATAAATATTTTCAAATTAGAAATTATTATTATCTGCACTTAATAACAAACAATACACTACCAGACTACCATGCTAGTTTTCTGTAATAGGTTACTAAGGTTAGGTACTATCAAAATATTAATACATTTGTTGTCAAACTGAAAATGTAAATAAAAATAATATTTATACTTGTAAACCTTTTTATTCTGTTTGAACAAATTCTAAATTGAGTTAAATAATAGTATTAAAATTATGAATACAAATTTTAACAAAATGATATAAACACAGTTGTTTTAAACACTAGCAGACATTTTTTAGTCTGGTGCCCTGATGACAGTTAATCTGCTGCACTTTAATTAATCTATATAGCACGCAATCAGACAATATTTCAGTGGAAAAAATCTAACTAACCAGGTTCTAGAAATTTTTGGAACTTTGGAACTTTTTCCACGTTTTTGACGCTTTTCGTAAAACTTTATGGTCATTGAGCACCCCCTAAACATTATCTGATTGGAAAGATTTTTTACACAGTCAATTACTATGTCAAATGGCACAAAATAAACAACTATGCATTCAAATCCGAGAAAAAAATTTTTTTCCTGTGTTCACATGAACAGCCATAATATATATATATATATATATATATATATATATATATATATATATATATATATATATATATATATATATATATATATATATATATATATATATATATATGTACATATATTGTGATACTAATTTGCTTCTAAAATTAATTTTTTTTAGAATCAGATGAAGATAATGCGGGTATGTATATAATTTATACTTGGGTTACTATATAATTATAAATGTTGCTCGAATTTTTAATGTAAATTTATATTTTTTAATTACTTTATTGGTTGATGCTTCTTGATTTTTTGATTATTGAATTAGTTGTGAAAGACTTGGTAAATCTGATCAATGAAAATTAGGTTTTATGATGGAAATTATGGAAGAAATTTAGCTATTATGGGATAACATGATTGGATTTTTATTAATTTATTTTTCTTTAGTTTTTATTATTTGGTTAATTAGAACTTTAAAACATTTTTAAATCTAAAAATAATTTAATTAAAATTAATTCTAAATTTCATTTTAAAAAATTTTTATTCAAAAATTTCTCTCTTTTTTTTTTAGTAATACTTAAGTAAAGTTTTTAAAGATTTTTTCTTAAGTTAAGTTTAAGTTAAGTTTTTAAAGGGTTTTTTTAGGGGACTCTGAACTACTTTCCATGCCACTCATATTATTTACTATTAATTACAGGGCTCGAATTAAGTGATCGCGAATTGCGATATCTGGAAATGCTTCCGGTCTTTAAAATTTTAGCTTTTTGAAAACCACAAAACTGTTTTGATTACTAAACTCAATAGATATCATTTAATAAAAAATATTTACGTCGATTATGATATTAAGTCTTAACGTAAAACCAAATTATCACTATTATTTTTATTATTATTAAAGATTATAATTTAAACTTTAATATTTTAATTTATTTTATAAAACATCAGATAAAACTAGAAAAATAAAGCATGATAAAGTACGATATAAATATTTAAAAACAAGCGCTAATCACAACAATCTAAAGGACTTTAACAGTGATCGAATATTTTAAATAAAAGAAATTGTTAAATAAGATATAAAATACTTTTTTTTTCATCTTATTTAAATCTCATTCAATATTTTTTTATAAATTTATCGCTTGTAACACTTTAGCTGATACGAAAATAAAATTAAAATACGGAAACAAATTAAATAAAAAAACTAATTTAAACTTTTTAATAGTTACTTTAAAACAAAAAAAAAGAAACTCTAATAACATATTTTAAAAAAATATACCTAATAATTTTTTTTTTTTAATAAATATTTAAATTCTAATTTAAAACATTTAAATTTTTAAATAAATAATTCCATAAACTTTCCCCCTAAATAAAAATCTATTTTATGTTTTATATAATGCGCAAGGTAAATTTATTGTTTTGCTTTTTCATTAATTTTTGCAATATGATAAACTGACCGTTTCATTAAAACAGTGTTTATGGTTTTTAAAAAAACTAAGAATTTAATGACCACAGATATTTCCGGATATTGCAATTTGGGATCACTTAATTCGAGCCCTGAGTTATATTATTTTACTTGTAAAGATAACTTTTTACCCTCATAGACCTAATTAAGAAACTGTGTAGCAGGCCATAAATATTTAAGAGGACGCTAGTAAAGCGTGTACACAAAATAAATGTGAAAGTAGAAAAACAACTAAAAAAAATTACTCTTCAATTTTTATTTCGAACCAAGTGATAACTATAATACAATAATATAAGATAAAACATAAAAAAATTCCTGTGGGAATCTAATAAAACATCGAGCTTTTGCTTTGGTGGTACCCATGGTTACCCTTTGGTACCCATATGCATAGAGTAAAAATCAAAATATTTGATGGTTTTTTAAGTATTCTAATATCTTTAATGTTTTTGCAAAGTTTTTTTGTTTTTTTCATTTTTCTTTTAATAATAGCCAAGTACTTTGTTTTTTTCATTTTTCTTTTAATAATAGCCAAGTACTTTTCAATAACTCTCAGTTCTGGGCAGTTAGGAGGATTTTCTGTTTTAGGCACAATTTTCACATTTGTTTTTTATACCACTCCATAGCTAGTTTACAATAATGACTTGAAGCTAAATCAGGCCAGAACACAGGTCTGTTATTGTGTGATTTTATGAGAGTTTTTGTAAACTTTTATGAGAGTTTTTGTAAGTCTTTAATATTTGATCAAAAAGTGTGGACTGACAAAATTCAAAACAAGACAAGTTTGCTTTTTTAGCAAACTTGTCTTGTTTTGTGTATTTAAATTTTTTGTTTGCTTTTCCTCTATATTTGGCAATATATTAGAAAGCACCAGGAATTTGCTAATGACCGTACTTGATATAAGTTTCATCGTCTTCAATAATAGAGAAATATTTAGAAATAAAATTGTCATACAATTTTCTGCAGCGGATTCTTGCACTTTTTTGTTGAGTTTTAGATCAGTTAGACACTTTTTGTGCTCTGAAAAAATGAAAACCATGTTTATTTCAAAATTTTTCAACAAAACTTTGAGAAAGTCCTTAATTTTTTGCACTTTCCCTTAGTGTCAGGCTTGGGGTAATCTTAAAACTTTTAAACAGTTTTTTAACTAGTTTTATATCCTTAAAACCCTCCTTTCTTCCACCACTAGATTTGCGTTTGATCAATTTTTTTTGAGAAAAACGTTGAATTACACGACTAACGGTGTATGGATGTATTTGCATTGCTTTTGCTATTGAATTGTAGCTACTATTGGGATTTTTCAAATATATTTATGCATAATTTTTTCTCTTATTTATTCTTCTTTTGTCATTTTTAAAACTAATTTTAAGTTAAATCGAAAAACTAACATATTTTTTTGAAATCACAACGCGCTGTAAACAAAATACAAAACACTTTTAAAGATTTTAATATAACCACTGAAAAAAAATGACGTACTTATTCTTTTACATTTATTTCATGTACACGCTTACAAGGTTACAAGCTTGTTTTAATTTTTGAAAAGATAAAAATTAAAAAATTTTTTGAAATTACATTTGAAATGCAAAGGAAAACTTGCTTAAAAACAAATTCTGCTAAAGTAATAATTTTTCAAAATTTTTACTTTTAATATTGCATTTATTTCACACGTCAATATTTTCATCTTTCAAATAATCTTTATTAGTACTTAATCGTTGATTACTTCATTTTTCTGGTTCTGATGATTTTAGTTTTGACAGTTTTGATTTCTTATTGTCCATTTCTAAAATTAAAAAAACTTTTTTATGGCAGCTTGAGCACAATTTTCTTTATCTGTCTAGATTCTAAGGAGATAGATTCTAAGGAGATAGATTCTAAGGAGATAGAGCTGATAAATGGATCAGAGTATCTCATTGCAAAGTCAAAGATGTCTTTGCTTGTCTCAAACATTTACAAGCATGTAGTTCACAATGTTGTCTGTAATATTTGTTTCAGTATTCAGAAGCTAAGACTCCCAAGGGAACTGGTGAGTTTACCATGATTTCTACTCCTTGTGCAAGAACTTTGTGAACTGTTGACTGCACTTTATACTCATCATATAAGTATTAAGCTGAAATAACTCTGAGTTCAATGTTTGCTAATAACATTTATATTAAACATTTTAATAATTGTCTCATCAATCCCTAATATTTCACTTAGTTCTTTTGGATCAAAGAATGGTTTTCTGCAAACATTTCCGGTTGTAGATATTACTGCTCCACTAATTGCTGGTAAATCTGAGATGCTACCTTTTGAACGTTAATTGCTCGATGATTTTTTTTTTGTTGCTGTAGGTTGTTTTGAATTCTTTGTTTTTCTTACACTAATTGCAGTTCATGTAGCTCTGCATACACATTGCGTTGACAATGTACTATAATTGCTAAAACGTTTCCGTCAATCATGCACATAATAAAATTGAAATTCATAATAACAAACTTTCCATTAGCCAATTCAATGTTCTCTGGATGCTAATCTGAATTTTTATTTTCTATTTGATGCTGTTTGTCTAAAACAACTACCTGTTAGATTCATTTATAGCCAGATATGCTAATATCTACAAAGAAAATTCTGTTTTATTATATTCTTTTTTTCAGGCTATAAGTAATGATTTTTCTGTTGCATTAAAGTTTCAATTCGTATGCTCTCCTACGCTTATCCGACATTTCATCAGAATCTTTTTTTTTTTTTTTTTTTTGTCTTTTTTTTTATTTGGTTTGCGAAAATTTCAATGATGAAGAGTCTATTTCAAACTTTTGATTTACTCAATTTTTATGTTTCTTTTCAAACAAATACTGTGTTTCTTGATGAATCTCTCTAAAAACTCCATTTAACTTTTCTACCAAGTTTTCTTTTTACTCATACAAATTCTAGAAGTTATGAATAGTTTGTTTTATACATATTTCATTGTTTAGATTTTCTTTTTTTGTTGAATATTTGAAACAGCTAATAATATTTTTCGTTATAAAATCCATTAGTATTATTTTTATTTATTAATACACAGCTTTTATTTTTCAAAATAAAAAAAAGTTTTGTTTTTTTTAATTATGTTAGTTTTAAGCATGGAATATTAATTTAAACACAAACTTCAAACACAAACTTCAAATAGAAGTTTCTCGCATAGATGCAAAAAGTTGTCGTTAATTTTTTAATTTCCTAAAATTACACTCAATAATTTGGTCGATACCTTTTGATACCGTATTTTTTGCGAGTTCAAGTTGAAAATTGCAATTTAAACTAATTTTTTTGACTTACAACATCATGAATATTGAAAAAGAAAAAAGTTTCTTTTTATTGTGAGCATCTTAAGTTGTATATAATTTGATACTTTTTAACATATAAATAAGTTAGCAGAAAAAAAAACTATTTGTGAAACATCGCAAGAAAAACAAAAATATAATTTTTCAAAAAAACTTTATATAGTCTATCTTTATATAGACTATCTCAGAGAACTAATAAAATAATAATGTTTTATGGTAATTAAATTATATTTTAACACAGAGTAAAAATATTTTGGATTTTCCCTAATCTGAGCATTTTAAAGCAATAAGAATTTAGTTTATGGATATGTTTGTTATCATATTGTCAGACAATTTATTTTTGTATTTTGGCTACCCAAAATTTCAGAAAATCAATAAATGTATTAATAAATCAATAAATCTCATGTATTAAGCACGCAAGAGAGAGTACATTAACTGGAGTGAAAATTAAATTCA